AACCAAGGACATACAGCGAGCAGGCGGCGAACCCACTGTGGCCTGGGCCAAGTATTGCTCTCAGCGCGGTGGGGGCATCAGGGACCCCGGCCGACACGACACCGCCTTCCTTCGCAGCTTCCTCCACCTCCTGGCCCAGTCGCCGCCCTGAGTCTCTTGCGGCTGCACCGAGAGGCCGCAGCAGGCCCTCCGTGCGCCGGGGCGCTTCTGCTACGGAACGCGCTGCGCCCCTGGCTGCAGAGAGGGCTCCTTGACCGACACTACACATATTCAGTGTCCCCCCTTTGCCTGCTTTTCAAGCCAGCACGCGGTCCCCTCGGCAGTTCTACCAGTCGGCCTGCTCGTTTGCTGCTCCCTAGCGGTACCTCTCCTTGGGTGCCCTGGCTGCTCCCCCTTTTGCGCCTCGCAGATGGGCCGCTCCCCCTTCCGCGCCTGGCAGGTGGGCCGCCCCCCCTTCCGCACAGGTGGGCCGCTCCCCCTTCCGCTGGCGGGCCGCTCCCCCTTCCGCCAAGGTGGGCCGCCCCCTCCCGCACAGGCGCACAGAACACAGGTGGGCCGCCCCCCTCCGCCAGGCGCCTCCCTCCGCGCCTCGCCGGCGGGCCGCTCCCCCTCCGCACTGGTGGGCCGCTCCATGCCGCACTAGTGGGCCGCTCCCCCTGCACCGGTGGGCCGCCCGTTCCGCGCAGGCGCTCCTGGCCTGTCCCTCGGCCGCCCCCCCTTTCCGCGCCGCTGGACTGCTGGTCTCGGCGCTCTCCGTCCTGGCCGCCGTCCGGGCAACCCCTGCTGCCTTTGGCCTGGGTCCTCGCTCGCCTGCCTGGTTTTCAGGCCAGCCTATTGGCCATCCACTGGTCTACTGGTGGGTGGGTCGCTGCCTCGCTGCCTCGGCGCCTTGCACTGGCCTCCCCCCCCCGCGCCTCGTAGGCCTTCTGGCCTCGGCGCCCGCCCGCGCACCGCTGGTGCCCCCAGCACCACGCCGCCCCGTTGTTGGCGTGGCTATACCTCTTCGGCCATCGTCCTTCGCCTGTACGCCGGCCTGCGCTTGCAGCGCTCAGTGCAGCGCACTCGTGTCTACCGGCGCTCCGCCCTTCTCGCCTCCCACCGCGCCTCGTAGGTCTCCTGGTCTCGGCGCTTCGGCCAACCCCTGGGTCCGCCTGCTCTGCCGGCTCCCCCATCTGGCTGTGCCCGGCCGCCGCTGGGCTGCCCCCCCCCCCCAGCTGCTGCCCGGCGCCGCGGCTGGTTCCCCCCCCTCGGCGCTCCTCCCGCCGCAGCGGGTGACTTGCCTGAGCGGACCGGGCTTCCCCTCTTCCCGTCGCGCCGTGGTCTCCTCCTCTTCCCACGTGCATCGCGGCCCAACTTGCATCTAGTGCGCCCCCCTGATGCCCGATCGCCGCAGCAGTCACCCTCCGCCCAGCCGCCGACGCAAAAGTGTCCAGCTTCCTGGTAATTCAGACAACCGGCTGGGCCAGACCCACTATTGCCAATTCTCTGCTCCCGGCTCCACGCTCTGCTCCCTCGGCTGTGCTGAATGGGCTTCGACCGTAGCACCCGCATCCGAACCAAACCGAGAAAAGAAGAGGAGTGGAGTGGAGTGGAGTGGAGTGGAGTGGAGTGGAGTGGAGTGGAGTGGAGTGGAGTGGAGTGGAGTGGAGTGGAGTGGAGTGGAGTGGAGTGGAGTGGAGTGGAGTGGAGTGGAGTGGAGTGGAGTGGAGTGGAAATTACGCCATCACCAAATGATGTTCGAATGCATCTAAACTAAAAGGTTTTTCCACATTGGATCGTTCCCGTGATCCGAGAACTGCTGATCCAATGATCCGATGATACGGCTGGCTGATCGGGTGATCCGGTGACCGGGTGATCCGGCTGGCTGATCTTGCAATCCGGTGCTCCAATGATCCGGTGATCCAGACAAGTGATCTTGATCCCATTATCCGGTCATCCAGCTGGCTGATCTGGTGATCCAGCCAGCTGACCAAATGATCCAATGATCCGATGATCTGGTGTTCTGGCCTGCTGATCCTGACTACCTACCAGACCACCACAACCCAACCCGAAGACCCGAATTTGACCCGAATTTCGGGTTGGGGGGGTACGGGTTCATGTGTTTTTTCCACGTTCCCCGACCCCCCCACACTGGAAATGGAGGGCAAATTGAGGCCTTCGGGTTGGGTTGAGGTGGTTCGGTGAGTGGTGAGATCCGGTAATCCTGTGATGCGGTGATACGGCCGATCGGTTGATCGCGATAGTCCAGCTGATCTGGTGGTGATCTGGTGATCTGGCCAGCTGATCCGGTGATCTTGTGATCCAGTCGCCTGCCAGCTGATCTGGTGATTTGGCTGATCTGGTGATTCAAAAACCCGGCCAGCTGAACCGGTGATTTGGTGATCGGGGTATCTTGCCGCCTGCTCATCTGGTGGTCCTGTGATCCGGTGATCCATCGATCCAGCCAGCTGATCTGGTGATCCAGTGATTCGGCTGATCCAGCGATCGAATGGTCCAGCCAGCACATCCAGTGATCCGGTGATCTGGTGATCCAATGATCTGGCCAGCTGATCCAGTGATCCAGTGAAGCGGCTGATCTGGTGATCCTGTGATCTGGCCAGCTGATCCAATGAACCGGCTGATCTGGTGATCCGGTGATTTGACCAGCTGATCCAATGAACTGGCTGATCTGGTGATCTGGTGATTTGGCCAGCTGATCCAGTGATCCAGTGATCTAGCTGATCCGTTTGATCCAGCTGATCCATCCAGTTGATCTGGCGAAAGATTTGCGGTTTGCTGTTTTTTGGCCTTCTGACAGCCCGCGACGGCCTAAGCGGCCCCCAAGATCGCCCCAAGAGCGCCCAAGAGGACTCCAAGATGGCTCCAGGAAGGTCCAAGCGGCCCTCAAAATGGCGCCAAGAGGGCCCCAAGACGGCCCGGGAGACCCACAAAGAGGCCCCTAAGACGGCGTCCGACCGCGTCAGACGGGCCAGGAACGCCCTCAGATGGCCAAAGAGCATCCCCAGGAGCATCCAAAGGCCCCCAACAGGCCCAAGGAAGCCCCCAAGAGGCATCCAAGAGGCCCCCAGGAAGCTCCCAGGAGGCCCAAACAGTGCCCCAACAGGCTGTCAAGAGGCCTCTTCATACTCCTAATCCTCCTCCTTGTTCCTCCCGCTCCTCATCTTCTTCTTTCTCCCATGTTTCCAGCTGGTGGAACACATAGTCCGATAGCTTGGCCGAGCTCTGGCCGCAACGTTAGGTCACATAGGCGCTTCAAAAGGCAGGGAGCGGCGGTGATTCGCCGTAGGCATCTTGAATAGATATACGCATGGTGCACTGCTTGCACTGTTAGTGCACGAAATTACAGTTTGGAAGCCAAGCTGGCCATTACCTAGTCGTGCAGAGATCACCTCTGAGTCTTGAAGCCAGTCGCCCGAGCCCGTTGGCACCCCAAACAAAGCACGAGAAGAAGTACCACAGCGTCCAGGATGACTGTTGGTTCCGAGCCATGGTCGAGCAAGATGTGTTCCGATCACCTGTATTACGCCGGGCCACCTCCGGCAATAGATCCGGCTTGCACACTGCGCACAACGGGGGCCAACCCGCACGCGTCCTACACCCTGCACAGTGCGACTGGCAGGTATCTGAAGACCTGCGAATTGCGTGCTCAGTGCACCATCTGATTGTGGCCACACGAGCGGAAGAAGGGGAGAATGAATTCACGGGCGCTGGTCACCTCAGCTCTGGCTCTAGCTGCTCATGCAGGAAAAGAGACCACGAACTCCCGCAGCGCCTTGAGGCTGGCCTCTGAGACAAACTCTTCCTTCAGCCGAAGGATGGTGAGCCCGTGCATGGCATCGCGACCTGCCGACCATCCCCGGAGCTGCTTCTTCATCTGGTCGAACGCCCAATCGCCATCTGCCAGATTGAATTCGAGGGCGTTCTCACCGGAGAGGGGGACGTTGTGTGCCACGCAGGCGCGCCGCACCTGTGCTATCAGGTCCTCCGGGGCGGAGAGTGTGTGTGGCATGCCCACGTTCCAGTTGTTCATCTCCAAGCACGTGAAATTGAACAGGACGGGGCGGCCGGCTTGGGCGGCCACGGAGGAAAGCATCTGGGCGATGTCGAAATAGGCGTCTGCCCCATAGGCGTTGTTGTACCCGGCGCACGCCTCCGCGGCGCGGGAGGGGTGCAGACAGTACCAGTGGATGCCCGAAACCTTCGCGGAAAGGCACAGCTTCTGGGGGTCCACGGGTCCCACCTGCTGCAGCGCCGCTACAGCCTCCCTCATCACCGCGGCCCCGTGATCGAGTAGCACCTTCGTGTACCACTCCAGGAAGGCCCTGCCCTCCCCCTTGGCGAAAGCCTCAGTTGCCTGGCCAGGCGGCGCGTGCTGGGGCGCCGCCTTAAAAAATTCACAAGCGTCTGGGCCCGCATTTTGGTCCTTCGGCAGCCCCTGCGGAGGCCGCTTCACCTTCGTCGCCTTCTCCAGCATCTTGACCATGCCCTTGTCGTACGCCATGACGAGGCCTACGCCGGGGTACTCCCAGCCCTTTGAGAGCATGTATGAAGGGTAGCGCAGCTCGCCGCAGGGCCCAAGGCCGACCTGCAGCTCGCCCACCGTCGAACCCAAATGGTCCCCGCACGCGCCGGCGAAGGCGGCGATGAAGTCGCGGTAGCAACGCAGGGCCGTGCGCTTCTGCCCCGCCCCGTCGTCAAAGATGGCCTCCTCGTCGGCCGAGAGCGAGAGGCAGTCCTCCGACACGACGCCGTGCTCCCCCTGGTACAGCAGCCCCCGCTCCCGCGCGGGCCCCAGTGCCCACGACGGGAGCGGCACGGTCACGGCGTCGCCGACGTTGCCGCCGCACATGTGGAAGGACATCACGGCCTGAAGCTCGAGCCCCACGGAGCGCAGCAGGCCGCAGAGCCTCAGGGTCGGGGGCTTCTGCACAGCGCGTCGCCCCGGCGGCCCTGGCGACACGCTGTGCCCTGCGAGCGGATCGCGTGCCGCTCCGCTCCGCAGATTGGGGCGTTCGGAAGAACACGGGACGTGAAGTGGATAGCGTGTCGCACCGCAGCATGGTGGGCCAGGACTAGCGGAGCGACGCGCGATCCAAAACTGCCCGACCGTTGAAGACCCCAGGAACGGCAGGGCTGCTTTCTACTGCCCTTACCGAATTAGTGAACGCGGAGATCCCCATGTGAATTTCACTTCCTGGTACGTCTCGCTGTGAGTGTCTGGCCGTGAGCGTCTGGGTGCGAGAGCAAGTCTGGATGGATGACGAGTGCGACAACGACGACGACGAAGGCGAAGACGACGACTACGAGGACGACGACGACGACGACGACGACGACGACGACGGCGACGACGACGACCACGACGACGACGACGACGACGACGACGACGACGGCGGCGGCAGCCACGATGAGGGACAGCGACGATGACAACTCGCAGACAGACAGGCGGTAAGCAGGCATCTCCCCCTCTCCTTTCTCTTACTACTCGTCGTGCCCCCTCACTTCTGTTCATCCCTCCTCCCGTCTCAATATTCCTGCGTCCTCCTGCGTCCTCCCTCATCTGTCCAGGCGGCAATCCTTCTCCCTACACAAAAAAAAGCATGTGCTCCGAATGGACAGGAGTCGAAGGTGCAAAACCGTGCGCCTCGCTCGGTATATCCCCACGGGTTGGCCGCCTAGAGTGCTGAAGCCAGCGCCTCGCTCGAGACATCCTCACAATCTGCTCCGAAAGCACCGATGTCCGTCCAAACCACCAAACAGGCAAACAGCCTGAGACATCCCCGCAATCTCCACGCAAACGTGCATGTGTCTTACCCCTAGCAGCTCGACCTTGGGGTGCTGAAACCAGCGCCTCGCTCGACACATCTTTACAAGCTGTTTAGAAATCAACCCAGCCAAGAGACTAACCAGACAAGCCGCCTGAGACATCTCCAATCTGGGTGCGAACGGGCAAATGTCCTACCCCTAGGGCGGCTCCCCCTTGGGGTCTTGAAGCCAGCGCCTCGCCCAAGACATTCCCACATCTGCTCTGAAAGCACCGAAGTCCGAGCCATCAAACAGACAAACCGCCTAAGACATCCCACAATATGGGCGCGAACGGGCAAATACCACGTGGCAGCTCCCCCGTGGGGTTCTGAGACCAGCGCCTTGCCCGAGACATCCTCACACGGTAAATGCGATGCGAGCCTGAGCATGAGTGGTCTGTGCGGGTAAGACTGAGTGTGAGTGAGTCTGAGTGTGGGTGACTCCGAGTGTGTACGAGTCTGAGTGTGCGAAGTGAGTATGAGCATGAGTGCATCTGAACACTAGCGTATCTGAGTTCTGAGTACTTGTGCTTCTGAGTATGCATGCACCTGAGAGTCTGAGCATGAGCGAGCCTGCGTGTAAGCCTGTGTTAGTGTGTATGATACAAGTACGAGCGAGTCCGAGCATGAGTGATCTGACTATGATGAAAAGGAGGAGGAGGAGGAGGAGGAGGGGGAAGTGAGATTCGAAGTAGAGGCGTCCAAGGAATAAAAATGAACCCCTCGCCTAGGCGCTGGCAGCGTCCGTTCTGTACCGTTGCCAGCGTGAGGAAGTCGCACACCCGTGTGTTGCGGGCAGGCTGTGTGACCCCTCTCGGGAACCCTCGGGGGAGCCCCCGAGAGCCCAACGGGGCTGGTGTGACCCCGTGCTGGCTCCGTGACCCACGGGGGCTGTGTGACCCCATGTTGGCCACGACCGCCGCTCCAATACAGTGCCCTTGCGACGCGAACAAAATTGGCAGCGCAATATGGGGACCCCCCCCAAAAAAAAACATACTTCATATGGCAAAATGGGCGCGAACGGTGGCGGCTCATCCTTGGGATGCTCAAATGCCACGACTGCTGCACCACGATGAACACTGGGTTCGGAACAAAATCTGATCAACCAAACAGGCAAACAGGCTGAGACATGCCCATAATGTGGGCGCGAACGGGCAAATGTCCAACCCCCTGGCAGCTCTTCATTGGGGTGCTCAAACGCCACGCCAGCTTCATCGCGATAAGCATGAGGCTCTAAAAGTAAATAAATCCGACCAATCGTACAGGCAAACCGCCTGAGACATCCCCATAATGTGGGCGCGAACGGGCATATGTACTGCCCCTTGGCGGCTCCTCCATGGGGTCCTCATATGCCACGCCTAACACGTCGGGTGAGTCTGAGTATGAGTGTCTGAGTGTCAGTGAGTCTGAATGTGAACGTATCTGAATGTGAGAGAGTCCTGAGAGTGAGTGAGTCTCAGTATGTGTGACCTTAGTGTGAGCGGGTCTGAATCTGAATGATCTGGGTGTGATGAGAGGGAGAAGAACGCGGGAGGTGAGGAAGTGGAGGCGTCCAAGTAAGAACAAGAACCCCATTCGTAGGATATGGGGAAGAAATACCAGAAAAATTAAACAGCAACTGTTCCAAGATTGAAACCAGAAACAGAAACCAGAAAGAAAAGACGACGGAACCAGGGGAAAAAACGGCACCTGAACCGGCAACAAAAACGGCAAAACGAGACTGGCAAAAAAAATGCCCTGCCGCTTCCGGAACCCACTAAGCGCAGAGCCCCTTCACGGCGCCGAAGCGGTACTGCCGGGGCTGCGGCTCGCAGAGCCCCCACCACACGTCGGCCATGACCCCGCGCACGCCGGCCGTCTTGAGCTTCGAGAGCTGCAGCCGCAGCGAGGCCTCGTCCCGCAGGGACATGCCATCGTCGGACATCCAGTCCAGCTGCAGCATTACGAAGATGGCTGTTGCGCGACAGTCGACCCCTCACCAAAACAAAAAACGAACTGCCCATGTTGGACATAAACCGGTAAACTGACAACTCATTGTTAACCAGGAGCCACGTCTACATCGCAGAGCGGGAAGCGCGCCCCAAACAGTCTGAGACCGGCCCCAATTCAGGGGGGGCGGTACGCTGCGTGCAGGCAGGCGGGCCCGCCTACGGCAGCTGGCAAAACAAGTAAATATCAGACATGTGGCCTCGACTGTTCCTTCTGCTACTGCGACAGCCGGTTTGAAGACAGTTGAAACCGTCAAGGGGGGGAGGAAGGACGCACGAGAGCAGAGAGGGACGCACGACGAGCGGGGACGAGAGGCCGAGGAAAAGGAGAGGGAGGGACGAACGACGAGAGGGACGACGGAGGACACGCGAGCGGGGGGGCTGGGAAGAAGCATGCAGGCCTCTGACAAAATCAATGCCCCGAATCGTGGCCGCCGCGATCGCCGCGGCGACCTCCAGAACAGACCTGCAACGGCAGCTCAAATCAGTCCCTGGATCCATCCCGAGATCAAAACGCACCAGTTCTCCGAGCTACGCCCAGCCGTGGCGACGAGGTCCCCCCAGAAGTCCAACCGCCGTCTGAGCTCGACCTGGTCTGAGGCTTGGTTCCCAGACATGCGACGTCCTGACTTTTTTCAATACGGGCTCCCCGGAAGTCCCCACCCTTGCCCTGGGTCCAGTATCTCATCCTGAGTCGTCTTTTGACGGCCCCGAGGCCCGGCGAGGGCCCCCCGGGGCCGAAATTGGCCAAAAACTGCCCGCCCGGTTTTTCTTTCCGACGCGATCCTGGCTGGGTTCGGGGTCGGGTGCCACGCAACGAGATGGGCACGCGGCCAGGCGGCCGGAGGTCGGGCACTGGCGCCGCGGCCTCGCGGGTGGCCTCCTCCGCTGTTGATGGGCCGATTTCCCACCACCACTACCATACGGAGGAGAAGGAGGAGGAGGAGGAGGAGGAGGAGGAATACAGTAGCCCAAACCCTCCCGTCCCGATTCGCCACGGCGCGATCCCGTCTGGGAGGGCGGACTCTCCACCACTACCATACGTAGGAGAAAGAGGAGGAGGAGGAGGAGGAGGAGGAGGAGGAGGAGAAGGAGTTAAAGTATCCTGAAAGAGGAGGGGGGAGGAGGAGGAGGAGGAGGAGGAGGAGGAGGAGGAGGAGGAGGAGGACCTGCCCATCCTCCCTTCTCCCCCGTTCTACCTAGGGTAGTGGTGGTGGAAGCTTGGCCCATCAGCTGTGGCCTTCCGCTTCCAGGGCAGAAGCAGGCCGGCGAGGGCGAGGTTTCCCAGCCCAGAGGCCGCGAGCGCCCAGTGCAGTTTCCCATTCGCGGGTGCCGCCATCGCTTGTCTATAGGCCTCCTACATAGGCTCCTCCTCCTCCCTCCTCCTCCTCCTCCTCCTCCTCCTCCTCCTCCTCCTCCTCCTCCTCCTCCTCCTCCTCCCCCTCCTTTTCCTCCTCCTTCTCCTCCTCCTCCTCTTCTTGCTCCTCCTTCTCCTCCTCCTCCTCCTTCTCCTCCCCCCCCTCCTCCTCCTCCCCCTCCTCCTCCTCCTCCTCCTCCTCCTCCTCCTCCTCCTCCTCCCACTCCTTTTCCTCCTCCTTCTCCTCCTCCTCCTCTTCTTCTGCTCCTCCTTCTCCTCCTCCTCCTCCTCCTCCTCGTCCTCCTTCTCCTCCCCCTCCCCTCCTCCTCCTCCTCCCCCTCCTCCTCCTCCTCCTCCTCCTCCTCCTCCTCCTCCTCCTCCTCCTCCTCCTCCTCCTCCTCCTCCTTCCTCCTCCTCCTCCTCCTCCTCCTCCTCCTCCTCCTCCTCCTCCTCCTCCTCCTCTCCTCCTCCTCCTCCTCCTCCTCCTCCTCCCGCTCCTCTCCCGCTCCTCCCTCTCCTCCTCCTCCTCCTCCTCCTCCTCCTCCTCCTCCTCCTCCTCCTCCTCCTCCTCCTCCTCCTCCTCCTCCTCCTCCTCCTCCTCCTCCTCCTCCTCCTCCTCCTCCTGCATCTCCTCCATGGGATCGGAAGATCGCGCCGCATCGGCGACGTCGGCAGTGCATCAGCGCCGTCGGCGTGGAGAAAATCGGGCTCCACATCGGCGATGCATCGGCGATGCGGCGCGATCCTTCGACCACATCCACTCAGACCCAATGTGGGAGGCCTAGATTGTGAGTGTGGAAGACAGCCGAAGATTCTGAAAACTTCGAGGCCTGAAACGCGATAGCTACGGACTTACAAAGACTCTTTGGGGGAGATCCGCGGACAGGTTCGCCTGAACGGAGAGCTTTTTGCATGATTGACGGAGGACTGCCCATGGCCCAACGGCGCTTGGCTTGGCCGCCGCAAGTCTAGTTGGTCTTTCTCCGACTAGCCTGGTTGCACTGGTGCATCACTAGCCCCGACTGTCCCTGGCTGGGCCTGAACTGCTTTGGCTGCCATCAATTTGGCTTTGGAGCGTCACCAGCCCCAGCTAGCCTCGCTGCCCGGGAGAGCCACCACCCTCACCTCGTCCTGACCTAGCGGGGTCCATTGCCGTTTCTTGTCCCGTGCTTCTGCTTGCTTCAACATGTAATCACGTGCCCCCGCTTGCTTCCACTTGTTCTCACGTGGCTCCACTTGCTTCCACATGATGCCACTTGCGTCCTCGGCTTGAGCTCAACACGTCGGTATCATGCAAATTCGTAGCCGTCCATGCCAACCGTGCAGGATGGCAGGCTACGTCCCGCACAATATGTCACCATTTGTCGCAGAATTAGCACGCCCTCACATCAGTGCCAAAGAAATCCACGGCACGAGAGTAAGACATCGCAGACAGATCACGATTGCACACATCGTACAACACAGAGCCCGACGACAGCAATCGCGTGCAAAGACGAAAGAGCAGAAAGACGATGCAGAAATCAACACCCACGAGAGCAATAGAAACGATTTTGAAGAAGGGAGAGAGTAAGAGACTACGGTCGATATGAAGAGGACGAGTTGGACGAGAAGGAGTATGATAATGATGTGGCTTATGACGACCACGACGACGACAAAAGCCTGGGAAGGCGGCGCGGAAGCAGAAAGGGAGGAGGAGAAGGAGGACAAGCGAAGGGACCAACAATGCTTGGCATGCCTACGCACTGTCGACTTCCGACGTGCTGAAGACGCGTGGTGATATTTTGCCCGGCTGCGGCCAAGCCTCCACTGGCCTGCGCATGGAAGATACCTCCGACCGGATTGCAGCACTCTCGTTGTACGCATGCCAAGCCACTAAAGGATAAATGCCAGCGCCATACATCCCCAAAAGAGACGCCCTTGCTTGAAGCGCAGGCCACACCGGTATGAGCACCAAGGCCCGTTAAGTGGCGCCTCCTCGTGTGTCCCTGCGGGAAGAGGCGGGGGCCAAAAGCGGCGTGCCGAAGCCGTGCGCGACGCGCCCCCCGACGAAGCGGGACAGCTTCCCGAGGCCTGTTCACAGACGTTCCCCGCATCGTTGCTATGGCCGCGCCCCTGCGGTTCGCCTGAGTCTTCGAAGGGTTGCGCCTTCACCCCATACGCACTCCCGGCGCACACGCATGTCCGCAACAGCCGAACACGCCGGGAGAGTCCATGTGTTCGAGCTCGTCCTCGGCCTCCGCCGGGGAACTAACGAATTGGCCGCTGTGGCATTGGGAAGGAGATGACGAGGAGGAGGAAGAAGAGAAAATGGGCGCAAGGATGGGCAGCTGTTTCCGCCCCCCCGTCCTCGGCGCACCTCTCATGGCGCGCGGACGCCCGCTGACCACGTCGGCCGCCTCAGCGCATCCTGGGCACCACCCGCCCCATCATCGGCGCATCCTCGGGCTGCCGCGGGGAGATCTTGAACTCTTCGCGTCGCGAAACTCGGCGGACGGTTTTTGGATGCTTTCGGTCCCCGGGGGGGCCTTACCAGGCCCTGGGACCACCAAAACAGCACGGGCTGAAAAACTAGCCCCGGGGAGCGGGATTCAAGGAGGATGGGGAAGAAAGAACGAGGAAAGGAGGAGGAGGAGGACAAGCAGGAGGAGCAAAGTGAGGAGGAGGAGGAGGAGGAGGAGGAGGAGGAGTAGGAGGAGGAGGAGGAGGAGGGGAAGAAGGATAAGGAGAAGGAGGAGGAGGAGGAGGAGGAGGAGGAGGAGGAGGGAGGATAAAGAGGAGGAGGAGGAGGAGTCATGACCACCGCGGCGAAGGCCTCCATGGACGAACTCTATGGCTCCGCTGTGGGGGCGAGGCGCGGTGGCACGTCCGAGGTTCTGGTCGCGATTCCCGCGCACACCCACTGGGGACGACTACAGGATTCAAGGTCTACTGTCGTCTGCGCGGCCGCAAGGCACCACGCTCATCCAATAGACGGTCAGCCTCAAGCCACTCTGGCCCCAGTCGCCGTGGAGCGGAGCACACAAGGTTCACCGACGACGTCCTGAAGACCGGAAGACGCAACATCGCATGGGCGTCCAAGGAAGGCCACAGGTGAACGGAAAATGCGTTTGGCACTCTCTGGCGGGGGTGATTTGTTAGGTAGGGGCCGAGCTAGTGAAAACCCCTGGGGAGCCGCGCTGAAGGAAAAAAACAACGGAGACCTGGGGAAGAGGACCAGAGGGTCACCAAAGACGGTCAGAATTTGCGTCCAGCATGGAGGCACGTGAGCGGAAAAGCCCCCCCCCTCCCCCTCCGCTGCCCTTCCTCCTCCTCCTCCTCCTCCGCCTCCTCCTCCTTCTCCTCTACCTCCTCGCCCTCCTCCGCCTCCCCATTCCCCTCCTGCTCTTCCTCCTTCCCCTCCTCGCCCGCCTCCCCCTCCCTCTCCTCCATCCTCACCATCGCTGTCATCATCTCCATCACCACCATCATCACCCTCATCATAACAATCACCGTCATAAGCAGCATCATCCTCATCCTCATGGCCACCATCATCGTCCTCATCATCATCGCATCATCGTCCTCATCAGCATCATCAGCATCCCACTCATCAACCGCATCGCCATCATAACCGCCACAATCATCACCACCACCATCACAACCATAACCGTCAGCATCGCCATCATCATCAGCACCATCGTCATCAGCATCACCTGCATCGTCCTCAACACAGCAACAACATCGCCATCATCAGCCTTACCATCACCAACAACAGCATCACCATCATACTCAGCACCCCCAAAATCATCAACAACCTTGTCATCATCACCGCCATCACCAACAACATCGTCATCACCATCATCATCATCATCTGCATCATCCGTATCACCATCATGGGTTCCTCCGGGCCTGTAATGCCTGGCACTGGGGCAGGTCGCTCCTGTCTCACTCGCAGGTGCTGCAGCACGCGGCGGGCTGCAGCAACACTCGCCGCAGCGCACTGCGAGGTCCACGCCGGTGCTGCACATCATCGTGGTCGGGTCCCCGCTTGTATCCACGTAGACATTGATTGCCCTGCGACACCCACGCGAGCATAAGTCATCATCTTCCTGCACCTGATCCGGCTTTCTGGCAACGGCGGTGCAGCGGTTCACGCTCACGTTCACGTCCACCTACATTTGTCCCTCGGGTTCCTTGTGTCCCTCGTACGCTGGCGGCATCGGCGCCAGGCAATCTATGGGCTCGGCCTTTCCATCAGGTGTCACTGCGTCCTCTTCCCCTTCCGCTTGTATGTAGTGTTCAACTTCGGCCCCACTCGTGGCGGATCCTACTTTCTGCGCTGGGCGGCCCACTTCAGGCGGCGGCTCCCGCAGAAGCTGTTCCCACGCGGGCGGCTCCCACGACGGCGGCTCCCACGGCGGCGCCTTCCACGGCGGCGGTTTCCAAGGCTGCGGTTCCCACGGAGTCGGGTACCAAGGAGGCGGCTCCCAAGGCGGCGGTTCCCACGGAGGCGGCTCCCACGGCGGAGGTTCCCTCGGCGGCGGCTCCCACGGCGGCGGTTCCCACGGCGGCGGTTCCCACAACGGCGGTTCCCACAGAAGCGGTTCCCACGGCGGCGGCTCCCACGGCGACTCCCACGGAGGTGTCTCCCACGGAGGTGTCTCCCACGGCGGCGGTTCCCACGGGCTCCCACCACGGCGACGCCGCGAGGCGGGCCCCCCCAGCTACCACCACGGCTACCGTGGCGGCAGCTTCCACGGCTGCGGCTTCCACGACGGCGGCTTCTTCCACACGGAGACGACTCCCACAGCGGCAGCTCCCACGGCGGCGGCAAGCGGGTCCCACGGCGGCGGCTTCCCACGGCAGCTCCCGAGGCGGCGGCTCCCACGGCGGCAGCTCCCACGGAGGCGGTTCCCAAGCCGGCGGTTCCCACGGCGGCTCCCAAGGCGGCGGCTCTCACGGAGGCGGTTCCCACGGCGGCGAACCCCACTCAAGCGGCTCCCACGGCGGCGGTTCCCACGGAAGCGGTTCCCACGGCGGCGGCTCCCTGGGCGGCTCCAGCGAAGGCGACTCCCACGGCGGCGGCTCCTACGCAGGCGGTTCTTACGCGCGGCGGCTCCAACGCAGGCGGCTCCTACACACCCAGGGGCGGCTCCTACGGCCGCGGTTTCTGCGCGGCGGCTCCCTGCGCAGGCGGCGTCCACGCGCGGCGAACCCTGCGCTGGCGAAGAGCGAAGCGTCCATGGACGAAGTGTACGATGACCAGAAAGCGCTAGACCAAGCAGAAGAACGGCGGTTCCCTCAGGCGGTGGTTCCCTCGCGGCCTTTCCCATGTTTGGGGGATGGCGTCCATGGGCCATCATCGCTTCGGTTCCTCCGGACCTGCAATGCCTGGGAGAGGTCGTTCCTGTCTCACTCGCAGGTGATGCGGCTCGCGGCGGGGTGCAGCACTGCGAGTCCCATGCTGGTGCTGCACACCAGCCTGGTCGGCTCCCCGTCTGTGCCCGCGAAGACGTTGATTGTCCTTCGACATCCGCGCGATCCTAGTTCATCCTCATCATCATCAGCAGCAGCAGAGCAACAGCAGTATCTTCATTAGAACCAGCAGCAGCAGAGCCGCAGCATCATCGTCATCAGCGTCATGGCCATTAGCATCATCAACATAAGATTCATCATCACCATCAGCATGAGCATTTGCATAATCATAATCAGCATCATCAGCAGCAGCATCATCAGCATCATCAGCATCATCAGCATCATCATCATCTGCATCTTCATCGGCAGCAGCATCATCAGCAGTAGCATAATCATCCTCTCCTCCATCAGCATCATCATCGTCAACAGCATCGTCAAGAGCATAATCGTCATCAGCATCAGC